GTATTTCCTAATTTAGAAAGATTTTAAAAAGCACACCTACCATGTCATTATCACATTGAATAAAATCAACGATTATTCCTTTATTTATAGTGTCCGCCAAATTCTAATTTCCTTGGTTCTTTTAAAACTGGCTTTTCATGCTTGTTATGTTCATATCAGGGTTCAAATAAAGCCTATATAGTGTATTTGCTTGCTATATTTCCTAAGTCTCTTTTATATTAAACAGTGCTCCTTCTTCTTTTCACCCATGTTATTGGTTTTTACAGAAACTGAGCCATAGTCCTGTAGAATTTTACACATTCTATATTTGGCTTATTCCTTCAAATTCAGTAGCTAGATCGAGGGGAATAGTTAGATTCAGGTTCATTTTTAGGTAAGAATTCTTTATTGTTAGTGCTGTATACTTCTTACTATATCACTACATCATATTATAAATACTTAATGATTGCTGAGTCATTTTTTTAGCATTAAGATTGCTCATTATGGGGGTGGGGGTGTGATTCAGGGGTAGACTCCTATGTATGTATCCTGCCTTCTCTATCTACTCTATCCCTGGGTTCAATTCCCAGCACTGAAAACAAACAAACAAACAAACAAAAAGATTGCTCATTCTTCCATAACCTTTCTCCTCATGATTTTAGCATTCATTGGTAATTGTTGCCTAAATCCATTATTTCATTAGAGATTGCAAATGGTAATTTTCTAGTTCTATCACTCTTTTTGCATTTATTATTTGGAATTATTCTTTAAAAATTTCCCTTATCTTCTGTCATCTGGAATAGAGCTCCTATAGGAAATGCATAATGCATTTTTTATCATTTTCAAATGTTACAGTGGTGAAAATTGAGACTTATTTCTTAGTTATTTGAGTGTCATGGACTTACATATATCTGAATATTTCATTCTATTACAATCATTTTCTTATGCTCAAATTGCCCCATCATAGTCTGGTGGAAGCTACTTTATCTACTATGCTCTTATTTTAGTGTCAAAATAATACTCCAATATAACTACTAACAATTATACTTATAAATAGTGTTTTCATTTTGTTGATTTTGACAAGCATCAAATGTTTAAGGATTCTCACTGTGGAAATGTACAAGACAGCATTCCTCTGGTGAGCAAACTCCAGGAGGATAACAGGCATCCGGTTATCCACACTTGGAATATTCTACAGTTTCTCCCTGGAAATAGTAAGATGACTAATGCATGCTCTATGCCTAGCTGCTATGGTAATGTCCTTCATTGGGAGGCAGTGTGCTAGAGTCTTATCGGCCTCAACCTTAATCTCAGATTAAGGGAATAAAGGAACTCTCTTAGACAACACCAATGTTGTCACTGGGCCTACACTTGCCTACATAACTGTAACTTTATACAATAAGCGATATGTACTAATGATGTCAATGACCCAGTGTAACCTATGGTTATAAATAAAGCTGGCAGTTTGGACAAGCAGCCCCTTTTACTTTGCCCCAGCACCTTGCTTGCTTCTGTCTCTCTTTTGTTTTTCTTTACACATATGTACTCATGTAACCATCACTAGGACAATCAAAATATTTCTGAATATATAAACAAACACGGGCTAGACTAAATGTAAAAGTAGAACTCCAACCCACAACTTGCAGCATGCAGCCCAGGAAACCAATCTACTACATGCAGTAACCAGTCCATGAAATAGTTCAGGCAACCAAAAATGACCAGGACTTGATTAATAATTGGCAGCTTCCCTAATTTTTGATCTCCTTCTTCTCCTATGATGGGGATCAAACCCAGGACCTGCACATGGTAGGCAAGCACTCTACCTGAGCTATCTCTCTCACCTTAAATATTTTGCTTTTGTTAACAAAGTCACATGCCTTTGCATGGGTCATTTTATAGTTTTGCCAAAGTATCTTTGGGATAGAGTTCTAGAAATAGCCTTGCACGTCTGGGTCAAAGAGTAAATGTATATGTAATTTTGCAAAATATTGTCAAATTCCTCTCCTAGGGATTTTGTATAATTTTCCATTCCTGAGAGTAATGAATGAGGACTATTTCTATATCCAATGGAATATTGTCAAAAAATTAAAAAATTTTGCCAATCTGTTAGATGAGAAATGAGATTGCCCCATAGATTTCATCTGAATTTTTTTCATCGTGGGCAAGGTTGAGCATCTCTTCATATGTTTAAGTGTCATTTGCAATTCTTTTTCTGTGAACAGTCTGTTCACATGTTTTGCCAATTGGAATGTTGGTCTTTTTTTACCCCTCAAATTTAGAAACTCACTATATATGAGGGATATTAGCATATTTTTGTATAAGTTGCAATTTTTTTCTAGTTTTCAATTTGTTATTTGGCTCGAGCTATAGTTTTTTCCATACATATTTTATGTAAGTTTCTTAACTTTTTAGTTAAGTTAATCATATTTTTTCCTTTATTTCTGGATTTTGAGTGATCACTAAGAAAGTTTTCCCCACTTTCAGTTTATAAAAAATTCATGCATACTTTCTTCCTATAAACTTAAGGTAGTCTTTTCTTCCTTTTTAACAGCTTTATTGAGATATAAGTCACATTCCATACAATTTACCCATTTAAAGCTCCAAGGTTTTTGGCTTATTACATTACTTTTTAAAAGTTGTAATTTTTAAATTTGCATTTTTAACCATTTTAAATTGTATAATTTGGTGGCATTAATACATTCCTTCACCATGTTGTTTAGCCATCACTATTTCTAAAACTTTTTCATCAACCCAAACAGAAACTCTATAACCATTAAGGAACTCCTCCTTCCTTTCTCTTCCAAGTCTCTGTTAACTTCTGACCTATTCTGTCTCTGAATTGGCATATTCCAGAAACTTCCTGTAAATGGAATTATACAATTTTTGTTTTTTATTTAACTTAGCATATATAATGTTTTCAGAATTTATCCATGTTTTAGCATGCATCAAAACTTCATTCCTTTTTGAAGTTTAATGATATTCCATTGTATAGTTATTCTACATTTTGTTTATTCACTCATCTACTAATGGACACATGCTATTTTAATCTTTTGCTATTGTGAATAATGCTGCAAATAGTCCAGAAAGCCAGCCTACTATGAATATTACTGTACAAATATCTATTATATATTTCTGCTTTGATTTCCTTTGGGTCTTTTGAATTTCTTTGAATACCTCAGAATGAATTGCTTTTGGACATTTGGTAACTCTATTTTTTTTTTTTTTTGTGGTGCCAGGGATTGAACCAAGGACCTTATGCATATAAGGCAAGCAATCTACCAGCTGAGCTATATTCCCAGCCCTCTGTTTAGTATTTTATGGAACCATTTGCATGGATTCAGCTTGACCCCACCGCAGCCATCTTGAGTCATAACCGCCATGACCACTCATGAGTAACCCTGGTAGGTTTTCCCTGTATAGTATAAGTAAATGAGACCATTAGAGTGGTATGTACAATGCTACGATTAGACCCTGACTGGATCCTGGCTCTGTCAACATCAGAAATGTAGCTGAAATCTTTGATAAGATTTATTTATAAACCTTATTGATAAGGTTTATCTTAAGATAAACCATGTACTTTCCAGCTTGGATGAGTCCACTTTGTTCTGACCATTATTTACACCTCTCCTTCTGACCCAAACTGTGGGAATCCAACTGGTTTCTCTGCCACCCAGGATTGTCAGTGTGTCCTTAGTAAATTGCAATCTGTGAAATCCTGGATCTTTCTGCCTCTTTTATTTGGTCTCATGACACCAAGGGGCCAGTTTCATATACCGTGCTGGGCTGTTCTAGAACACTGCCAAATTCTTTTCTTTAGTGGCTGCATCATTTTACATTTTCAGCAGCAATAGAAGAGGGTTTCAATTCATCCATGTCCTTGCTAATGCTTGTTATTTTCCATTTTTGTTTTTTTTAATTAAAAACAGTCATCCTCATAGGTACGAAGTGATATTTCTCTTGACATTTATGGCTTTGATTTGCACTTCCCTATTGACTAATGAGCACCTTTTTTGTGCATATTGGCCATTTATATATCTTCTTTGCAGAAATCTTTGTTTAAGTCCTTTGCCCATTTTAAAATTGGGCTGATTTTTTTTTGGTTACTGAGTTGTAGGAGTTCTTTATGTATTCTAGACATTAAACCTTTTCTGAAAGATGATATGAAAACATAATCTCTCATTCTGTAGGTTGTTTTTTGCTTTTTGGATAATGTCATTCAGTGTAAAAGGATTTTATTTTTGATGAAGACCAATGTATCTATTTTTCTTTTGTTTCTCATTCTTTTGATATTATAAGAATTCACTGCCAAACCAAAGTCCTTAAGATTTACCCCTGTGTTTTCTTCTAAGAGTTTTATATTTTCAGTTTTTATGTTTAGGTCATTTGTCCATTTTGAGTTATCTTTTGTATATGGTATAAGGTAGATGTCCTACTTCATTCTTTTGTCTGTGTATATCCAGTTTTCCCAGCATGATCTGTTAAAGAGATTATTCTTTTTCCTTTAAATGGACTTGGCACCCATGTAAAAAATTAGTTGACCATAGACATATGGATTTCTTTTTGAATTGGTTTTATTCTAGTGGACTCTGTGTCTATCATTATGCAAGCACCACACTATTTTGATTACAATAGCTTTGTATTGAGTTTTGAAATCAAAAGTGTGAGTCCTCCAACTTTGTCCTTCTTTTTCAAGATTCTTTTGCTATTTGGAATCCCTTGCAATTCCATGTGAATTTTGAAGATTGACCTTCCATTTCTGTAATAAAGGGTGTTGGAATTTTGTTAGGAATAGCATTAAGTCTGCAAATTGCTTTGGATAGTATTGCATCTTGAAAATCTTGTCTTCTTATCCATAGACATAAATGTCTTTCCTCAGATCCAGGTCTTTTAAAAGTACTTCTCAATTTTCTTTAGCAGAATACTAATTTAGTCAAAGCCATGCAACTTCCTTCCAAAGTTACCACGAGATACATTGCCCAAAACTCCCAAATGTTGAGAGATGGCATTAAAGCACATTTCACTGAAATCCACAAAGCATCCCTTTATTTTCATATGAATAATAGCCACTGATGAAGGGAAAAATAAAATGTTGACGATCAGCATTTACTTGAGGAACCATTTTTGTAAGACACTGATGAAGGAATATGGAATACATCTTCAAAGTGGCAGGGGGCACAGAGATAAGCACACCAAATTAAAAGCATAAAAGCATATTCTCATGAGAACCAAGCAATCCTTGTTGTTGGAGGACCAAATGGAATCATCATTAATGTAAGTAGAATCAAAGTTCACAATCTGCAAGTCCTTCTTGAGGTATGCATGATTCAGCTTATTTACAGTTCGAGCAAAGGAATATTTAGAAGCACAACTATATGCTTCCAAACTGTACACTTTCTTGAAGTGCAGATCAAAAAATGGATTGTCCTAGAAGAGAAAGACAGAAATGACTTAGTTCGTAGCAATGAAAGTAGTTTCCTGGATTCTCTCATATTCTCCTGGATATGTCTATTGAAAGTGACAGTATCAAATATATTTCTAAAATCTACAAATAAGCGTTTCAAAACTACCTGCTTCAAATGTAATTCCTTCTAAAAAATAAACAAGAAAGATTATTTTTGAAACATCTATGTCTTGTCAATTATACACATGAAATGAATGTCATAGAATGTGTAGTTATCACATCTTCTCTGTGTAGTAAATTTGAGAAGATGGGATGGATATAATGAACCCCCTTACAGACTTTTGGGGATGGAGGTGGAGAAAAGCATTTTTCTCTGGTGTCTTTACTAGGAGTTTGGTCCTCTGTGATATTTAAAAGGTAAGTGGGGGAAATGCAGGATGGCTAATTAGCATTTGACATAGTACAGATGGCCAATTTGATGACTTTGCAGTTGACAGCAAGGAGTAATCTTTGACAGTAATAGCAGGGACCATTAGTCATTTGACAAACTGCTAGAATGCCTCTTATTGGATGGCTCTAGGTTCTTGCAATATGTCTAGTAGAAATGCTTCAAAAAAGAAGAGACATCAAACCTAATCTGGATATTACGTATTGAAATAATAATAATTGAGTCTGGAGTAGTGGTACACACCTAGAATCCCAGGCAACTTGGGAGACTAAGGCAGGAGGAACTCAAGTTCAAGGACAGCCTCAGCAATTTAGCAAGACTCTGTCTCAAAAAGAGATTGGGAGGAGGGGAGAGAGAATAATAATAATTGCTATTGTTATTATTAGTAGTGACAACAGTGCCTTGCTCAGTGGTCAAGTACTTCTGCAGCATATGTGGAGCCCTAGATTCAAGTCCTAGCTCTACACACACAAAACTATATCATGCATTTATAAAGTGTACAAAGTATATTTCTGTTTAGAAAATATTTTCACAATTCTCCCTAATTCCCAACTCTCCTTGAGGGCAAAGGTTTTGCATTCCTTGTGTTCCTCATGCTCATCCATGGCAACCATTGTTGTCTCAACAAATGTGTGTTGGACTGATCTGAATTGCTTCTATGTAAGAAGAAAAATGAAAGTAAACATTGCTTAAATGACAAAGAGGCAGAGAGGGACCAAACCACACAAGAGTGTAAATTCACTAGCAAGTAGCTTTTAAGCATTATATACAAATAACTACGTATTTTCAAACAGGAAAACTCTTGCAAAAGGCCAGAAAAAGAACATGGGTTTTGAAACTAGAGGACCATTTTGACTCTGATGTAACCATGGGCAAACTACTTATGTGATCTCTCACTTTTCCATTTTAGTTAGGGTTGCCCTACAGTTTGAGATTAATCATATAAAATGCCTAGTATGGAGCTTAATAAATGATCATACCCCAAACATCTGTCCCCAAAGATTGTGATACTGGTGTTAATACTGCTTTGCTTTGTACCATTATTTTTTTTAAACAACACTTTAAAAGGAAGATATAAGAGTGTTGTGATTTCAAAGGTAGTGCTCCCTTAGCCATACCTTGAATGTTTTTTCTAACTGTCATACATTGAAAGACAATTCTGCAGAGACTGTCAAAAGGAAATCTCCATTCCACCACCAGATAGTAATCATGTTCCTTAGATGGTTTTCTCTTCCATTTGCTTCTTGTCATGTAGAAAATATCCTTCATGTCTTTGAGATAATGAGGATTAATCTTTGCTTTAGCTTAATAATTGAAAGGACAAGCGTGCATGCACATAGAATACAAGTCCCTTCCTTTCTTCATCTCCCCCCTTTCTTTCTAGAGCTAAGAAGGGATCTCATAGATTATTTAGTAACCCCTTATTTATAGATGAGATGATAGTTTTCCAGAGAGGTGAAGCACAGGCCACACCTAGAGTTAAGTGGCAGAGTCAGGACAAGAACCAACACCCCAGCCTGCCCATGCCCAACTGTTGGATCAGTCAGTCTCCAAATCTAAATCATTTGATTTATGCTTTATAAACTGTCTTCAATTTCAATTCCATTCATTTTACACTTGATAATTTTCTGGCTTAAAATTACTTTATTGACAATTGTATCGTTGCCATTGAGAAAAATGTAGTAAACACTCCTTTCAATTGAGAGAGAGAGAGAGAGATAAAGATAAAGAGAGAGATGATTTTCCTATATTCCCAGAACATTCAGGATGGATATATATATATATTTTACATCATTGTAGAAAATAAATGTTTTTTAAAAAACTCTTCTTAGGATATTATAGTTTTCTTGTGACAGGACTGATAAAAATATCCCAGGCACTGGCCAAATTTAGAGACATTATGACACCACTAACATTTGAGAACATGAGAAACAAAGAAAAGAAAAATGGGCCAATAATTGGGTGAGGGTGGTTAATTTCTGAACTATGGATTGGTGAAACTGACCTAGACTTCTGTTAAAATTTGGTACAGTATAGAAATCTGGCAAGTACAGAAAAGTATAAAGAAGAAAATAAAAATTGTAAAATTTTTAACCTTGTTATACGGGGCTGTTTCATATATACATGTACATATACACATACATGTAACTACATGTATTTTCTAGAATTAAAATTTAAGATTTAAGCCAGGCATTATGGTGCACACCTGTAATCCGAGTGGCTCAGGTCAAAGTCAGCCTCAGTAAAAGCAAGGCGCTAAGCAACTCACTGAGACTGTAAATAAAATACAAAAAAAGGCTGGAGATGTGGTTTAGTAGTTGAGTGCCCCTGAGTTCAAACACCAGTAACAAAAAAAAAGAAAGAAAAAATTAAGATTTAGATTTCTATAATATAATAAATATGCAAAATTGACACTATTTTAGAAAAGCTTTGTTTTCAGTTGATTTTTAAAAAACTTATTAAATAGTGAATACTTGTACTTGTGTTTTGAGGTATTCTTCTGGAAACCTGCATGCTATTCCATCTTATGGATATGCAGCAATAGGTTTAATTGCCTAACATTTAGGTAAAATGTATTGTCAGAAAAATATTACTTGACTGGATGCAGTAGTACACGTCTGTAATCCCAGTGACTTGGGAGGCTAAAGTAGGAGGATTGCGAGTTTGAGGCCAGCCTCAGCAACTTAGTGAGGCGTTAAGAAACTTAGTGAGCCCCTGTCTCAAAATAAAAAATTAAAAGTGCTGAGAGTGTGCCTCAGTGGTAAAGCACCTCTGGGTTCAACCCTCAGTACCAAAAAACCAAAAAAATTATATGAGTAATTAGGAAACAAAGCAATGAAATCCAGCGCTTTCACCAAGGAGTCCTGTCAAACACAGAAAGCTTGAAAAGTTCAAAACCCACCTGAATCAAATGTATGAAATATGATATGTCAAGAGCTTTGTAATGTTTTGAACAACCAATTAAAAAAAAAAAAAGAAAAATAGGATTTCTAGGTGTTAGTCAAGGTAATAGCAGAAGGCATATATGGACATTCAGATTAGATCATTAAGCAGAGTTTATGGCTGTTACTGTATCCTCTGAGCTTAGCAGGACCTTCGGTGCTATAAATTCTGATAGAGGACTGAACAAAGAAATTAATAAATATATGAATTTGTGGAGGTTGAACAACCAATCTAAAGAAGGCAAATTAACAGATTTCTGAGTAAAGTCTAGCTCTACCACTTAATAGCTGTTACCTTGAGGAAATCAATTAGTTTTTTTTTTTTTTTTGGTGAGGGGTACCAGGGATTGAACTCAGGGGCACTCAACCTCTGAACCACATCCTCAACCATTTTTTGTATTTTATTTAGAGACAGAGTCTCACTGAATTGCTTAGGGCCTCACTTTTGCTGAAGCTGGCTTTGAACTGGAGGTCCTTCTGCCTCAGCCTTCAGAGCCGCGGGGACTGCAGACATGCAGTACCGCGCCAGGCTCAATTAGTCTCTTTTTTTTTTTTTTTTAAGAGAGAGAGAGAGAGAGAGAGAGAGAGAGAGAGAGAGAGAGAGAGAATTTTTTAATATTTATTTTTTAATTCTCGGCGGACACAACATCTTTGTATGTAGTGCTGAGGATCGAACCCGGGCCGCTACTGCTTGAGCCACATCCTCAGCCAGGTGATTAAAATTATATATGGAAGGGACTTAGCTTGATTCCTGGTACCTTGTAAGAATTTACTAAGTGTGGGATCGTTGCTAGTAACAACACTAATAGTAGTAATAATGATAACCACCGATTCCTTAGAGGTATGTCCTTGGCTCTACCTGCTTTATTAGTTTTGTTATTGCCTTAGATAAAGTCTTAAATGTTCAGTTAATTAATTAAATGTGTATCATACTACAGGGGCACTCAACCACTGAACCACATCCTCAACCATTTTTTGTATTTTATTTAGAGACAGGGTCTCATTGAATTGCTTAGGGCCTCACTTTTGCTGAAGCTGGCTGATATTTAAAAATCAAGATATTAAAAGGTTTGGTAGGTTGGAACAACAGGCCAAACTAAGAATATGATATTTATTAGGATTAACAATAAATGAGCAGGGCACAGGGGCCCATGCCTATAATCCCAGTGGTTTGGGAGGCTGAGGCAGGAGGATCTTGAGTTCAAAGCCAGCCTTAGCAACAATAAAGCATTAAGCAACTCAGTGAGACACTGATTCTAAATATAAATATATTTAGAAATAATATAAATGATATAAATATATATATACACACACAGATATATATATATATATATACACACACACAGATATATATATATACATACATACACACACACAAAATAGGGCTGGGGATGTGGCTCAGAGGTTGAGTGCCCCTGAGTTCAATTCCTGGTACCTGCTCCCCAAAGGAAAAAACCAACAATAAATGAATTTTGCACACATGGTGGTGCACACCTGTATTTCTAGCAACTCAGGAGGATGAGGCAGAAGGGTTGCAACTTACAATGTGCAAGGCCCTGGGTTCAAACTTCAGTACCTCCCCCCCCCCCAAAAAAAAAGAAAGAAAGAGAAAAAAATGAGTCTTATTGAGTGCCTGATATCTATCAGGTAGAAGGCTATGACCTGGTCTCAAACTTTAGAAGGGGCTTTCCATTCAAAGGGGAGTTAGAGTAATACAATAACTGCAGTTTGTAGGGTTATGGCCTCAACATATTTACATCCACAATGAATGGGTGCACCGGGCGGGGAGTCATGAGTAGGACTTCACCTAATGGGAAATCTGGAAATGGGGTAAGAGGTGGGGGGGGATTGGGCATTGTAAACTTCAGGAGTCAGTACTTAATTAGACATTGTGGGCATATAAAATTCAGGGGCAGGATGAACTCTCCCTCTCCAGAAGACTCTAGAATCAGACTGGGAAATGACTATTTAAGTGGACAAGAGGGGAGACTCTTTCTTGTCTTTCAACTCTAAGATTCTAGGATTTCCAAGCACTACGATCCTTCTGCAGCATGAAGGCGGCTTGCTGACAGAGGGAAGGAATCCTCAAAACCTGCAGAAGAAATTGGGGAGAGTAATGGTGGAAATGTAATATGTTTGGGAAAATGGCATTCAGATTTTTAGGCCTGACTGACTGGTTTACTCTGTTAAGAGGACCTTGGGAAAAATGCTTTTAAATTTAATAGACAAAACTCAAATTCAAACTCATAAAAGCAAAACTAAAAAGTAGATCACAGGAAATTAATCCATACCACTTAAGAACAATATGTCATTTTAACACTTAGTACATGACAAGAATATATGATGTAGGATATTGAGCATAAAGATCACCAACATATTGATCCCACATCTCCCTTATGAAACATAATACTTACAGTGTCTGCTTCTTTTCCATCAATCATCTGCAGATCATTCAAAGACCACTTTTTTGTTACTTCATATTTTTCATCTAAACCTATTCTGTAGTGTTTTACCATGATTATTTTCACTTCTTCATTTTTGGTCACTGTAGGACAGAAAAATTCTTAGTTTTAGAAGACTATAAATTATTCAAGTCACACTTTTCAGGATTATATATACACTTTTTATATAATGATCTTGAACCCACATTATAGTTTTGGCCTGAATTTGAGACCTGATGTAGTTGAACCTTCATGAATATGCCCCCCAAATTTGCTCCACATGTTAAATTTATTTTTGCAGCAATTATGCTGCCACAATAGTGTTTGTCAGATAGAACTCTGAGCTATGTGCTTTGAGCTCTAAACTTTGTGGTAGAGAATGGGATTCAACGTGAGGCAGGAAATAAGAGGCCTAGCATTACAATACAGTCAGTGCCAAAGTGTTTACCAGAACACATTATAATTTAAATTCATGACAGTATAAGCAAGTGAGGTAAGAACAGCAAACAGTTCTGTTCACATAGCAACACAGGACAGTACTTCGGGAACTGGGACAATTTCTTCTAAATTTGCTGTGTGAATCATGACCACCACTGACCTGTTTGATGTTGTTGGAGATTTTTAATCCTCTCAAGTATGCCTCTTAAATTCTAGTGTTCTAAATGATGCCTCCAGCACAGAAGATTCTAGTACTATGCTTTGAAAATTCAAGGAAATCTTTGCTTATTTTATGTGAACAAAATGAGGGAAATAATTTTCTCATCTTAAAATAATTTCTTTGGTTTCACATAAACACATCAGAATTATCAACATTTTATTATAGAGTTTCTGCTTTGAAAATTACCAGTGAGTTAATCAAGGAGTATTTCCTTACGAGTACTTGCTATTTGCTTGATAGATTATAGATGCCAAAGGGGAGACAAGTAAGAGCCTGCCCTCTAGTAACTTATGGTTTTGTTCAGGAAACAGGGCTAACTTACATATATTATAAAGAGGTGACAGATAGGGATCAACTGTCTAAAACTTTCTTTCAAGGTAGATAATGTCACCTAGAGAGCTGCACAAGCTGGTTCTGTCTTCTAAGAATGAGAATTTGTTTGGGGGAAGATTCTCTTTTGATTCTGCTATGGTTTAAATGGGTCCCCAAAGTTCTTGTGTTGGAAACTTAATCTCAGTGCACACTAGTCTGGCATGAGACACAGGAGGCTGGTCTGGACCTCAAAGGCTCCAGAAATGGGGTTGGGGAAGGGAGTAATTCTCTTCTGAAAGAACAGGTGATACTGAAATCAAGATGACCATTGGATCTCAGAGTTAACAACAGGACTGGAGAAGAGGTTCTGAGCAATTTGACAAATCTAAATGAGGTCAAGGTGACAGGTGGCCAGTGCAAGCTCGTACTGCAATACCAAGCCAGCAGGTCTCCTTCTTCTATGAGCTAGAGACTAATAAAATGATACCCTGTTAAAAGAGTATTTTTCTGGTGGCTGTGATGCACAGGATACATTAAAGAAGAAAAGAAAGAGGAACCAGAGAACCCTGGAGGAGGCAATGTGGCTCAGTGAGTTATGGCACCAGATGTTCTGGAGTCAAACTGGTAACACCAATATGGTATGGCTCAGTCACTTAATCTCTGGAGAGGATAAGCCTCATTTTCTCCTGCCATAAGGCAGACGTGAGAGTGATATAAACTTTATCTACTCAAGATTAAAGTGGATACAGTATGTAAAGGATTTAGGATTGTGTCTGACTCATGGTGATTGCTGAAGAGTTTTGCTTGTTTTGCAGGCTGTGGTGGTAGCCTACGCATGGGATGAAGGTAAGGGAGACAAGCGGCAAATCTGAGTAATGTTTAAAATGAGGCACTTCAGCACTTGGTGGAAAGCAGACACTGTATGCAAGCCCAAATAGCAAAGCATGGAGGTTGAGCTGGCTGGGTGGAATAATGAGTTGTTTTTTTGTGTGTGTGTTTGTGTGTGTGTGTGTTTGTGTGTATGCCAGGGATTGAACTGAGCCATATCCCTAGTCTTTTTTTTTTTTTTGTGGTGGGGGATGTACCAGGGATTGAACTCAGGGGCACTTGACCACTGAGCCACATCTCCTGCCCTCTTTTATTTAGAGACAGGGTCTCACTGAGTTGCTTAGCACCTCACTTTTACCGAGGCTGGCTTTGAACTTGTGATCCTTCTTCTCAGCCTCCCAAGCTGCTAGGATTACAGGCGTGTGCCATCGTGCCCAGCTCCCCAGTCCTTTTTATTTTTTGTTTTGAGACAGGCTCTCCCTGAGTTGTTTAGCACTAAATTGCTGAGGTTGGTTTCAAATCTGCCATCCTCCTGTCTCAGCCTTCTGAGCTGCTGGGATTATAGGCATGCACCACCACACCCAGCTTAATGAGTTTTGTTTTTGTCATACACATAAGGTATTCACAAATTAATTCAGGAGAGAATGAGATGGAAGTTTTGTAGTTTAGGAATGGAAATAGAGACTGGAGGGTTTTGAGTGTGGAGAGGTTTCCAAGACCAGGTGTATAAGAAAAGAGCAGAGGAAAGGGATAAGAGAAAGTGGAGAAGAAAGAGATGTCAGCAAAGGGTCTGAGAAGAGGCCTCAGAAAAGACAGATCAGAGAGTGCAATGCCATGGAAATCAGAGGATGATCTTTTTCAGAGGTTTGGAGACAATCCTGCGAAATCACTTTGTTAGGTAAGGTGGAGTTCAGCCCTGGCACTGAATCTGACTTGGGAAGGTCATTGATTAGCACCATGAAGGCAGTTTCTCTATAATGGCAAGAGCAGAAGATGGTTTGCAGAGGATTCCTTTGTGTTCTACTGTATACAGATTGAGTACACATTCTGTGCCAGTTCCTGGGTTAGGTAAGATTACACAAGGTAATAAACATGGAGGCTAAAGGCTATGACTTAGACATATTCCAAGAGTTCAGAAGAAGACATATGGTGCATTTCAGGGTCAAGGGAGAAATTGAGGGGCATGTCTAGAGAGGACCTCAAGATCTTAATCCAGGATCAATGAATGACTCAAGAGTCTGAAGTACCCCTGTAGCTGTGAGGTGCTAAGCAACTCAGTGAGAGCCTGTCTTTAAATAAAATTGTGTAGAAGTTGGTGGCCTTCTGCCATCTATACCACTCTAGCCCTAAAAGTGTCTATCTGTACAGTTCTAGATGTCAGCTTTGCAAAGAGGAAAGGAGGGGAAGAACTGCCATCAGGCTGGTGCATTGTAGTGGAGGCAACCTTAGTGAGGAAAAGATCTCAGTAGCTTGCCACAATTGTTAAGCACAGGATCTTGGAGGAGGTTCCTTCAACCAGAAGACAGTTGTGTCTTCCCGACAGAAGCTGTACCTCAGAATCAGAGGATTATATTCTTGTTCAGCTAGATGTCTCACTAAGCTACTTTAGAGGGTGAGAGAGAATGGGGGTGGAGAGATAAGGAGAAATACTTGGACACTATATGAAAATGTAACTTTCAGGGAGCAAATTCCACTGCCTCATCTACAAATTATGATAACCAAATGATCAAAGATAAAGGCATTCATTCAATTCATTAAGTTGATATTTATTTGAGTGCCCTTTTTTGTACTAAGCATGGTGTTAGAAATTGAGATTTATGTATATAGATGACTCTATGACCAGTGTGATTCTGCAATATGTACAATCAGAAAAATGAGAAATTATACCCCAATGATTCAAATGTATGAATTGCCAGGATCATTATAATGTCATGTGTAGCTAATAAAAAAATTAATTCCCCAAATTAATTCTCACTGAGACTGCAGGGGATGGGGGCTTCAGAAAGAAAACCAATGCTAACGGTGCTATGAATGAGTCAGGACACAGAGGGACATCATCGTCTGACTGGTCATCAGGAGGAGCGTCCTGAGGAGGTCATCTGAGCTGCAAAGGTAGGAGTTAGTAGAATGAAGAAAAGAGTAAAGGGGGCTCTGAGAAGCACAGGCACAAAAGCATGAAGCGCTTGACACTTTTGAGTCATTATAAGTATTTGCTGCTTTTGGCAGCAGCTGTGAGTGTGGCCAAGTGGAAGGTAGCAAGTTAAGCATGAGTTAGTCCTGGAAGGATCTGGAATGCCAAGCCATGGGATTTAGATGTTATTCTGAAAGCTGTGGTAGGTGGTGAGGAAGTGTTATTGAGGGATTTTAAATGAATGGACAGGCAGGGATTTAAATTTTAGAAAATTCTTTTGGAAGGGTTGGGAATATGGCTCTGTGGTTAGGCCCCTCTGGGCTCTATCCCTAGTACAACAAAAAAAAAAAAAAAAAAAAAAAAATAGAAGGAAAGAAAGAAAGTAAGTAAGTTAGTTCTTTTGGAACATTCCACAAAGGATGGATTAGAGGTTGAGAACAGAGAAAGGAGATGCTAAGCAGATAGAATCTACCAGTTATTGAGTTTGCTTACATTAATGGTCACTGCCCTACCAACACAAAGCTAAGAAAATAAAAGAACATGCTTTAAAGATTAAACTTTTGATAAAAAGAAGCAGCACAGAGAGACTACAGCCTCCTTAATTTGACAAAATGACTTCCTTTAGAACTAAGGAGGCTCCAAGAATTCTCTGTAGCCATAAGCCAAAGAAGTCTGCTCAGGCTGGAGTTGACCCAATCCCTAAATTCCGTACTTGAGCTCTGCTGCCAGCTCAAATTAAATGGCCATCACCACATTAAGGCACTGGCAAAGTGGAAACTTAGCACATCATCTTAAAACAGAAATGTGTTTACATAGTAAAAACGATAGAGTGTCGGTTTCACTAACATCAGAGCCTCTGTTGGAGAATTACGGCTTAGGGAATGATATCTGCAGATGCAGGGAACTTCAGAATTAGACTGCTCCACTTTTAATATTTTAGTCTGCGTTTCCAGAATTATGATCTTAACTCATAACAATCTTTTTTTTTTTACCTTAAATTTAAAAATGAGCTTTGTCATTGATAAATACCTCTATTATCATGACAAAATGATGGTTATATTCATGAGTCAGTATTGGCAAATTGATCCAACATGATTTGGCAGAATAGAGGAAAAATAGTAGCAAATAAGTAATTTGCATAGGAATGCTTTAAATAAGTAAGATCCTTTTATTTT